TTATAACCAATCAAATGCTCTCTAATATCTGACATGCCCCGCCCTCTTCTTCTCATTTGCTTTTCATTTTATGCTATTGAGATTAATCAGTCTCACTGCTGAGCTGTCAGAAAACAAAACACTATTGGGTGATTAAAAAAAAAAAACATTATATCCCACCCTCTTTTTGTGTTGTGGTTGAGATTACGTCAAATATTAAATACAAATGCACATTTCAAAAGCACTTCTCGAGACCTTTAAGTGCAAACAGCACATGTTAAATTTCCCCTTTCACACACACACTTTTCAGATAATTCCTACTCTCCTGTTTTCATCAAGTCGAGCTCCTCGCAGCTGTTGAATTCATATAGACGACTACATACAGTATATTCTTTCCCCTCATCTGAGAGAGAGCAGCTGCCACTTTTCAGTACTGTAATGTCATACACTCACTATTACAAACAGTATGTAGTGTTAATGTGAATCCCGTCTTGTAATGTTGACTTGAGACGGGAAACAGGCCGCTGGGCTTTTGGGAAGTGTGTTGCTGTGCTCTTCACTCATCTCTGCTCATTAGTTTCATTGGACGTCTCCTGGTTCACTGACCTCATGTCTTTACAAAAATATCATAGTGCTTCATAAGCAGACGTGTCATTATAATGATGAGCAATCGATTAGGATGGTTCTGTTCTGACTCCAAGCATAGTGAAATCTCTTTTGTCTACAGTTTCTGTTATATATCAAATAATATGCTCATATTGGTTATGATTGCGAAGCAGTATGTTTATTTTCATTGCAAGGTATTAGGAGCTGCCGATGGAAACTATTATGTTCATTACAATTAAGTACGTCCCCTTTTATTTTCATTTCTTTCATTTATTTAATATGTTAATAACATTTAAAATCATCTGTTTATCCATTCTTGAACCACTAAAACAGTTCCAGGTCAGTATTAAAATCATATTAATAATATGAATCAAGTAATAATATGCATTACATTAAATATTTAGATATTTTTTATTTACATAAATATAATTAAATAATAGAATATTTGAATATGTAAAAGAATTTAAACATTATTTAGTATTTGTTTCACACTCTTTTTGTGATTTTTAAAATTTAAATACAACAGAAATCAGTGGATTACTGTTACAAAAATAGCTTGTTACAGTAAAGCTCGTCTGATGAGAGTTACTATTGCATAAAGACAGAAGGAATAAAAAGATAAGAAAGAAAAAATGAACAAAGAAAAATAAGACAAAAACAAACAAAAGAATTAATGAATGAATGAATGAACGAACGAACGGATGATGAACAAAAAAAGGAAAGCTCAAACAAAAATAAGAAACAACCTAAAGAGAGAACAAATGAAAAGTGCACAAAAACAAAGTTAAGTATTGAACAAACAATATAAAGAAAAAATGAATGAATGAATAAACTAAAGAGTGAACAAACAAACAAAACAACAAATGAATAAAAGTAAGAGCGAACAAATGAAAAAAATTAAGAATGAACAACCAGATGAAAGAATGAATGAACAAAACAGCAAACAATTGAACAAAAGTAAGAAAGAATGAACAAATATAAGAAAGAACAAATTAACAAAAGTCTGAACAAACAAAAGAAAGAACAAACAAAAGTAAGCCAGAATGAATGAACAATAGTGAACAAAATAGCAAAAGAGTGAACAAATGAACAAAAGTAGGAATGAACAAATAAAATAGCAAACGAACAAACAAAAGTAAGAAAGAGTAAATGGACAAAAGTGAACAAAAAAACAAAATTAAGAGCGAACAAATGAACAAAAGAACAAACAAATTAACAAATATAAGAATGAGCAAACAAAATAGCAAATGAACAAACAAAAGCAAGAATGAATGAACAAAAGTAAGAGCAAACAAAAGAACAAAAGTAAGAATGAACAAACAAAAGCACAAACAAACAAAAGTAAAAATGAACAAACACAATTTAGAACAAATGAACAAAAGTAAGCTCAAACAATCGAGCAAAAGTAAGATCGAACGAACAAAATTAAGAACGAACAAACAAAATTAATCTCAAACAAACAAGCGAAAGTAAGATCGAACAAACAAAATTAAGAACGAACAAACAAAATTAAGCTCAAACAAACAAGCAAAAGTAAGATCGAACAAACAAAATTAAGAACGAACAAACAAAATTAAGCTCAAACAAACAAGCGAAAGTAAGATCGAACAAACAAAATTAAGAACAAATGAACAAAAGTAAGCTCAAACAAACGAGCAAAAGTAAGATCGAACAAACAAAATTAAGAACGAACAAACAAAATTAAGCTCAAACAAACTAGCGAAAGTAGGATCGAATAAACAAAATTAAGAACAAATGAACAAAAGTAAGCTCAAACAAAAGAGCAAAAGTAAGATCGAACGAACAAAATTAAGAACAAACTAACAAATTAAGCTCAAACAAACAAGCAAAAGCAAGATGAACGAACAAAATTAAGAATGAACTAACAAAATTAAGCTCAAACAAACGAGCAAAAATAAGAACGAACAAACTAAATTTAAAACAAATTAACAAAAATAAGCTCAAAAAAACGAGCAAAAGTAAGATTGATCAAACAGAATTAAGATCAAACGAAAAAACAAGAAACCGAAAAAACGTAAGTACCACTGAACAAACAAAAGAGCAAAAAAACGAGCAAACGTAAGAATGAAAGACAAAAACCAACAAGCCAGTTTGGCCAGAAACCATCAAACATGAAATAATTACAAGTGATATTCAAAACAGTCAAAAATGTATTTAATTTAATTTTTTTTTTAATTTAATTTAATTTAGCAAAAATGAGCCGTATATATCCCATAAACTGCAAATTAAAATAAACAATAAATGGGACTATAAAAAAATGATTGAATATGCTGAATAATTGAATATCTGTCCAGAGCAGTGCAAGAAATGCTGATAATTTCATTTTCTTTTGGCCGTCACTCATCATTTCTCCATCTATTTATCTGCTTTTCTCTTTCTCTTGGCTTTCCTCTGATTGTGACAGCCATGACAGAGGCATTTATTGTGGCTGTGTGTGTGTGTGTTTGAGTGACAATCAGAGGAAGCAGAAGATAAAGGAGAAATCATGTCAAACTCTGAACAACAACAGCCTGAAAACTCCCTCGGTCAGAGAACAAGACCAGCCCCTGTGTTAACACAATGAAGGAGCTTGTTTCACAGTGTGTTAAACTCCTACACACGCACACACACACTGTGCTTTTCTTGGACAGTTGTTATGCATTTGATTTATTGAGCAGTGTGTGTGTCAGCTCGGCCAGAAAGCCCCAAACATGAAGGATGATTTACTAGCAAATAATAAAATAAAATAAAATAAAATAAAATAAAATAAAATAAAATAAAATAAAAATGTATTTAATGCAATGCAATAAAAAACTGAAATTGAATGCAATAAAATAAAAAGATTATTAACAAATGCAATTAAATTCAATAAAGATTTACTTGCAAATGACATTCAAAACATGCAATGCTGTGCAATAAAATGGTAAATAAATAAAATAATTAATTAAATGCCATGCAATAAAATAAAATAAATTGTTAATTAAATGCAATAAAATAAATTGTTTATTTATTAATGTAAAAAATAAAATTCATTAAATTTTTACTTGCAAATGACATTTAAACATTAGCAATACAGTGTAATAAAATGCATAATAAAATAAAAAATTATTAATTAAATGCCATACAATAAAATTAAATAAATCATTAATTAAATGCAAAAAAATTAAATATATCGTTAATTAAATGCAATAAAATAAAATAAATTGTTAATTAAATGCAATAAAATTAAATGTTAATTAAAAGTAATTAATTAGCAAAGTAAGATTTAATAGTTACTTGCAAATGACATTCAAAACATTAGTAATACAGTGCAAAGAGATAAATCCTTATTTAAATAAATTTTAAAAAATTATTAAATGCAATAAAATAAAAAGATTATTAAAGAAGAGATGCAATAAAATTTATTAAAGATTTATTTGCAAATGACATTTAAAACATTACCAATGTAGTGCAATAAAATGCTAAATAAATAAAATAATGAATTAAATGCAATAAAATAAATAAATCATGAATTAAATCCAATTAAATTAACTATTATTTAAATGCAGTGCAATTTTGCACAGACAAAATTCAAATAGATATACTTTCAAACGACATTCAAAACGTGATCAGTGCAGTGAAATAAAATGCAAAAATAAATAATTAAATGCAATACAACAAAATAAAGTTCAATAAAGAGTTACTTGCAAATGATGTTCAAAACATTAGCAGTGCAATAAAATGCAAATTAAGTTATATAAAATATTAATTAAATTAAGCCAAACATTCTTTACATGATCTAAATATGCGAATGAAAAATTATTTAGTGAGATATGTGCTAATTTGCATACATGTGTTGCACAAAAACAATGAAGTCTGTTTGTTTTTTCTTAACGTTTTTACAGGTGGCATTTGAGGTATCTCTTATAACTCCATTATTCCTAAAAACGTTCTGGCAAATTACACATGAGCGAATCCCTCTGTAAAAAAATTATAATAAAAACACTCATATCACATATATAAATAAATCTGTGAAGTTTGGTCTATGCAAATTTTTAAGTTAGTGGGTTTTTTTCCATACCTTAGTGCAGGGATTTTATTTATTTATTTATTTATTCATTCATTTATTTAATTTTATTTAATTTTATTTAATTTTAATTTATTTTATTTCATTTTGTTTTTGGGGGGTGGGGGGGTAACCTTTAAAATTAAACAGTATAATTGAACTGTCAACAACTACAAAAAAAAAAAAAAAGAAATGAAAAAAAGTGTAATTTGGATCTTAAAACTGACGTGTAAATTGAACGAAAATTGTATTGGCAGATGTTGATGATCTGTTGATTTTCAGTTTTGTGTTTCTCATTTCTCCGTTTTTGTGTTTCCAATTGTAATAAAATCCTTTGCAGGCTGTAATTTCTCGCTTTGTGTTTTGACAGAGTATAAACGTGTGTCGGACTCCTCGATATCAGCAGAGAACTACCGCTGCTGGCCGTCATATCAGCATGACGGATGCCTGCTGTCGGTCTACAGCGTGGATGAAGCTGTAGACGTGTGTGAGAGTCACGTTCAGTGCCGGGCCTTCGTCATGACCAATCACACCACATGGACAGGTAACATCTTAATAACCTGCTTGGTGTTTAATGTGCTAGCAGGTGGTGTTGGAATTTAGAGCAGTTAAATTACTTGACAAATAAAAAAAATAAATAAACTAAAGGCCCTAGTATTGACCTTATGGACCTTTTCACAAGAGTGTTAAGACATATTTAACGGTCATCAGCAACTTAAAACCTTAAAAGTTTTTAATATTTAGAAAAGAAAATGAATGAGTGAATGGTGTTTCTTTCTGCTGTGGCAACCTCTGATAAATAAGGGACTAAGCCTGAATGAATGAATGAATGAATGAATGAATGAACGAATGGATGAATAAATTAATGAATGGATGAATGAATGTATGAATGAACGAACAAACAAACGAATGAATGAATGAATGAATTAATGAATAAATGAATGAATGAATGAATGAATGAATGAATAAAGAAATAAATTGATGAATGAATGAATGAATGAATGAACAAACAAATTAATTTATTAATGTATGAATGAATTAATTGATTGACGGATGGATGGATGAATGAATGAATGTACGAACAGATTAACCAATGGATGAATGAATGAATAAATTGATGATTTAATAAATGACAAATGAACTAATTAATTAATTAATTAATTAATGATGCGGATCCATTCCTTTCTTCCATTCCTTTTTCCCCCTTAGCAAAGAAACTTCCAAAGACGTCTCTTTCTTACTCATTTGCTGCTTTTGGGTTAAATTTGGGCGCTCAAGTGACCGAGATGTAAGCGAGAGAATGCGGTCATTTTTCAAAATAGAAGATTTTTCTAAATAAAAGATCTTTCAGTCTCAGATAATAAATAAAATCGAAACAATTATTGATTTCTTGTGCAACCAGTGGTTGAGGACCACTGCTGTACAGGAGACACGGCACAGAGGGGATTGATTGACAATGATCTACAGCCAATCAGGGCACAGAACACAATGCACTGTAAAAAAAAAAAAAAGCATGTTGAGTTGCACAAAAAAAACCTGCGAATCTGCGAGGCCACGAAAAGTGAACAGTGTCATAGCGAGAGACCACTGTACATATAAATATACGTAAGTTGTTTTTTTTTTTAATCAACATATTAAAAACATTCAAGGATTTACGTTTATGACGACACTTTCATAACAGTCTTGTGAAAAGGGTCATCATACTGATTTCTCTGCAAAAAACTAATCTGCTGAACATGGTAAATGTGACTTTGATGGAGCGGGACCACCTTCCTCCCACTTCCTGTTTCCCATATCCTGTTTGTTTTGTAGCAGGAAGTGTGTATTTTCTCTCACTGCTGCTTTTCTGTCTGCAGGTCATCAGCTGGTGCTCTTTAAGACCGGTGCGTCCAGCATGAGCGCGGCTCCAGGTAAACTCTCATACGTGCGGCTAGGGGAAACTGAGAGCTGAGAGAGAGAGACAAAACAATGGTCACACGTTATCCAGATCTTCTGATGCTCTACTTCTTCCTGGACGACAGCTAATCTGAATCTCAGGATTTAGGGAGGATGATCATCATTCAGGAAGCAGGACAGGGGAGGTGTTCGTGTGTCTGGCAGAGATGCTTGGAGGCTGTTTGTGCTCTGCAAAGAAAATGGTAGTTTTTGTCTTGTTTCTAGTCCAAATATCTAAATATCAAGAAGAATTTCCTGGACAAGTAAAACATACTGTTTTGTCTTCAGATTTAATAAGTCAAAATTAAAGGGATCTTATTTTAGATGTGAGATAAGATGTTGGTGTCTCTTGATACTAGGGATGTAACGGTATCAGAATTTCACGGTACGGTAATACCTCGGTATGAATGGCACGGTACGGTATTTATTGAATAATTTAAAGGAAAAAACAAAACTTATGAAAATACTCCAAAAAAGTGCCAAAAGTGTCAATGACATACAAATTAGCCATCTATCTGTAAGCTTTAAAACAGGAACTTCAATTTTAATAACAAAAAAATTAAACCATGTAAAAAGTTTCAATTTAGTATTGTTGAAAACTCATCACATTCAACATTTAATCACTCACTCACTTAGATAGAGATGGGTTTAAAGGAAAATTATCATATAAATATAATCTGGTAAAAGCTGGTATCTCTGGGTATTTACAATGTCCCCTGCAACAGAAAAACCCCTCTCATTTGGGACTGAGGTTTCTGGGACAGAGAGATATGACTTGGCCCAGGTTGACAGCAGTGGGTAACGTTGTGCATTGTCTTTCCCCCACTTGAGAGGACAAACCATGAGTGAGATAGAGATCTCATGTCTGCATCAATCTGAACAGTGTGCTGTGTTTCTGCAGTCCCCATGACTGATTATTAGTCGTATTCCCCAACTTGCAGGCACGTGCACACACAGGGCTCAACCTGTGCAGTGCACATGCCCTTTTTAGACTTGGATAGAAAGTTCCCTTCCAAAATGATCAAAAGTGCCCCCGCGACGCGACATACCCTCCGTCCCGCTTTACAGTACGCGCGCCACAACACAGCTGATAAGAACTCGCACGACAACACCGCTATTCAATACGCGCGCGACAACACAGCTGATAAGAACTCGCACGACAACACCGCTATTCAGTACGCGCGCGGCGACAACACCCGCTTTAGGGTTTTCCAGCTCTTTTTGATCCCCGCTTCTAGCAGCACACTCCATTTCCGCATTACTGGATCTGTAGCGACAACAGACCACAAGGGATGATGGTCATGAATGGGCTGATGGGAATTGTAGTTTTCGCTACCTCCCGTTCGCTTCATTCGCCTGAGCAAATTTTCTCAGAAGACCTATAGTTTTACCGAGTCATGCGACTATACGGTAATATCGAAAAAAATTAATATTGCGGTATGACGGTATTTACAATACCGTTACATCCCTACTAGATACCAATGTGACTATAAAAGTTTCAGCTCAAAATATCCATCAGATTATTTATTACACAATGCAGAATATGCCCATTTTGGCCTCAGAGTTAAGACGGCTTCATACTTCCGCCCCATTCACACGGGGCTTCAGCGTCAACGCTTGACTGAAGGCGTGTCTGAAGTTGGGGCTGACGCGATCTTCACAGAAGCGTCAGCCAATGAAATTCAGTCAACAATAGGCCACAGTCTAGCTGGTGTATTTGCATACAGCGATTTGATTGGCTGATGCTTCGTCGGCGCTTGAAATGTTGAGCTAGTCCCAACTTCTGCAGCGAGCAACGCCTCTGAAGCGGCGTCAACAGATCCACAATGCAGTTTGGCAACGCCTGACGTCACCCATTCAAAGTGAACGGGAAGCGTTGACGCTGACGCCCCGTGTGAATGGGGCGTTCTTCGTTGAGTGATCAGTGTGACCCACAGCGCTTGCCTTGCGCATAGTCGTGCATTTATACTTCTGCATGCTATTTGTGTTGCTCTGCAATAACACTTCTAAAACACTAGCTGGCAGTAGGTTTGGATGTTCCTCTGTGTTGAGTTTCTTCGCTGGTGTTTAGTTTTTACTAGTTTCTACAAGTAGCTAAATCTAGCTCATTCAGAGGTGGGAACCAGCAGATGCGCAACAACTGTAATCAAAAAGGTAAACAAAACAAAAGTCTCCATCTGAAGCTCCTTCTTGGGACTCCACAGAGCTTGTGCTACGTGTCATTGAGATGTGTAGTTACATTTTTTGAGAGGTGTGTGTGTCAGCGTCAGCCACGGCAAGGGCTATGTGACCTCCTGCGCCGGAGCACATGCTTAATGCAGAAGTATAAATCAGCTTTAAAGTGTAGCTGTTTTTGTTGCCTGTGCCTTTAAATGCAAATGAGCTGGTTCTCCCTGCCCACTTTTCCCACATTTGTATCTGCTTCTCATGTTATATCAGATAAACAGCAGTCAGTGACAGAGACATGATGAAGCAGAGATCCAGCTTATTAGTCAAAAATACCAAGTAAGTTTTTGTATTTGGAGTTTATTCAAGCCTTTCTGAAATGATGAGTCACACACAAATGCTGTTACAAAGTTTGCACACACACACACACACACACACACACACACACATGTGTTTACTGACACGATGCGGCTGTGGTGGTTCCTGCAGTTATGAATTACATAATGATTTTACTGTCTTTTATTTATTACAAACCTGCTCTGTTTTAAAAAAAAGGTTTTAGACGTGAATCTCATTCTTGGGGTGCAGATGATCACAGAGAGCTGAACAGATCTTTTAATCCCAGTTTCTTTCCAAATCCCGTGGACATGTTTATACATCTTAATATTAAGACATGTTAATTCATGCCTGTCAATCAATTAGGTGGGTGAGGAAAAACCGCACTGCTACATCACGTTACGGTGGGCCTCATAATCAGAGTGAATTGGATCCTATTTTAACATCAGGAAATTAAAAAAGAGACTTGTTGTGTTTCTATCATCCCAATATGACTGTGGGCACACTATACTACACACAGTTCTGTCCAAACTGCTTACAAAAGTTGATTTTGCATCATAGGTGACTTTTAATGTAAGTTTTACCTTAAAACAAGCTAAATTATCTGCCAGTGGGATAAATTAAATAATCCAGATTTCCCTACTGGCTGATTATTTAGCTTGATTGAACTTTATTTTGACTTCTTATTCCTGAAAACCTCTTATTTCTGTCTAGAAAATGCTTCTTGATTTAGGAATTTAATGAAACAAGACATTTTTTGCAGTGCGCTTGTCACGACAACACATGTGTTCATTGAGATCTCCTGTCAATATCTCTTTCAATCTCTTCGCCCACACTGAGTCCTCTTTTATCAGCACTTTTTCACCATGTGAAACAGGGTCTATTTGTTGAGCTTTTAAAAGCTCTCGCTTTGATTCTCGAAATCTTTTCCAATATTTGCTCACGTAAAACAAATCCTAGCAATCGATGTCCAAATGTTCAACTAGACCAGCCTAAACAAGTCATTTATTAGTTTAAGGAAACTCCTGCTTTAAGTTCTGAAATCATCATCTAAATCAAGACTGAAGACCGAGACGAATCAGGAAATTCATTTCATGATCATATCTTTGTTCTTGTCATTAAATCTCTATTTCATGTTTAGTTTTATTATTTTTCAGTGGTAGAATGTATTGAGATGTTTGAGGGGATAGTTTTGGTTGGCCTGGTGGTGGTTCATCAGCCAATCTCCTTGTGCTGTGATAAAGTTTCCCAAGGAAATGTCAGTCTATTACTTGTCTGGTGAAGGAGTTGAAGAGGTTTCTGCTTTCAGCGAAAGCACTGAAATGTACATCTATGTGTCTTTTTTAATTAATTGTATTGTTGTGTTGGATATGAGAGCGCTATTTTTATATTGAAATATAAAGTCATGTGACTTTAAAAAAAGTGTCTTGGTCATTTTTTTGTGTGTTATTCATTACAGTGCTATATCATACAAGTTTTATATTTATATATATATATATATGAGATATATATACATATACAGTTGGTCAGAATTATTAGCCCCCTTCAAATTTTTTTCTTCTTTTTTAAATATTTTCCAAATTATGTTTAACAGAGCAAGGAAATTTTCACAGTATGTCTGATAATATTTTTTCTTCTGAAGAAAGTCTTATTTGTTTTATTTCGGCTAGAATAGAAGCAGTTTTAAATTTTTTAAACACCATTTTATGGACAAAACTGTTAGCCCCTTTAAGTTACATTTTTTTCTCGCTAATCTACAAAACAAACCATCGATATATAATAACTTGCCTAATTACCCTAACATGTCAAGTTAACCTAATTAACCTAGTTAAGCTTTTAAATGTCACTTTAAGCTGTATAGAAATGTCTTGAAAAATGTCTAGTAAAATATTGTTTACTGTCTTCATGGCAAAGATAAAATAAATCAGTTATTAGAAATGAGTTATTAAAACTATTATGATCAGAAATGTGTTGAAAAAATCTGCTCTCTGTTAAACAGAAATTGGGGGAAAAATAAAAAAGCGGCCTAATAAATCAGGGGGGCTAATAATTCTGACAACTGTATATCTCATATGAGTTTTATTATAAATGTAAATCTGTAAATATTTAAATCTGGGATCAGTAGGCCCACACGGAATCTGCGCGCGCAGAATTCCGCAGATTGTTAGCCCATTATTAATTCTGTTTATTTACTTGAGTAACTGTAAATCTGAATTTATTCAGGAATTTATTACTTTTTATTTCATGTATTAAGGTTTTAGTTATAATATGCCGCTGGATACTCCCAAAATAATTCAGCAGAAATTTGCAGATTTTTACCAAAATTCTCTGCAGAAATCTTAAAAAACGTCCGCAGATTCCGTCTGGCCCTGAGGATCAGTAACATTTTTTTTTATTTAAAAAAAATAATAAATGCATTCAATAAGGTTATAAAACCAAGTAAACCATGTGCAAATAATCTTTAAAAACATCATGTTTTACATATTCCACCAAATATGAAGCATTTATTCATTTTCTTAGGGTTAGTCCCTTATTTATCAGCGGTCGCCACAGCGGAATGAACCAACAACTATTCTCACATATGTTTTATGCAGTAGATGCCCATCCAACTGCAACCCAGTAGTGGAAAACACCCATACACACTCATTCTCTCACA